TTCCCCTCTCCCCTCCCCTCGAGTCCTTTCCCTAACACCCCACCCCATCCATCCCCCACCCTATCGGCTTTCCCCAATTCCACCCACCTGTATCTTTCCTAGACAGACTGACGATCATCTCCGGCGATCCCTTGACAAAGAGGTCAAAGTTGGCGGCCCCCAGGGCCCGAGTGACCACTGACATGCGCTGAAGGCTGGAGGAGAAGGGGAACTGGCGGACAATGCCTACGTCACCACCGGACAGCTGGGATGGACATTAAGTAAAACCCATGAAAACTTTTTTTAAAACCCAAAAAAACAAATCAATTCAAGATGAATTAATGTCTCTACAAAACTCTAACATCACAAGAAGAGACAGACAGAAAACGAAGGAGTATGAGCAGCCAATGGCACGAATTCCTGTGTGCGTTTCATAGACAAACAGAGAACAATAGAAGGTTAAAAACCCTCTATGAAAGCAAAATCATTGCGTGTGAGTGTGTCTGTGCATTGTCTATGTTTTATATGATTGGAAAAACGCTCAGAGCTGGTTTCTCAACTGGACAGAGCGCTATATAAATGCTACAAGAAGAGAAATGTGAAATGGTATAGGTTCAAAGCCCATATCAAGACCATTAGGTTATTGAAAAGGCGAAACTCCGAGTTTCCATCTCCGAAACGGCTTAGCCAAACACGAAATTCGCGAAAGTGCCTTTCTAAAGGACACAACGTCAGCCACTAGGCTGCTGACGTCAGGAGCAGGCCTTAGTGCACATGTACACATTTTTGTGAGTGTGTCTGCGTGATATCTACCTTTTGTGGCAAGTGTTTTACGCGCTCGCAATTGCATAAGGTCATGTGTATCATATATTTTTATAAATATTTTTAAAAAATGATATGTCGTGATTCCCCTTCCTCTCTGTCCATCTTTCTAACCAACTTTTCTCGCTCATGCTTTGTGTCTCTATCTTCTTACTTTTCTATGTTTCATTATTCTCTCTCAATCTTGAGAAGAAAATGCGAGCAGTTGGTGGGTGCTCTGGCGGTGTGCCTTGCTGCTTCTTTCCTATCAAACATCTATCGCCTTTATCTTCGCTCCTTGTTAGTGTTTGTTACCTCTAATCTTCGGCACTTCGTCACCTCAGAAATATTTTGTCCAAATTGTTCTCTATACTTAAGTACAATTTGAACAAAATAGTATTGAAGCGACAACTTATATGACCTTACTGTTTAGCAAGTGTTGTAAAACTCTAACTAAAACGAAACTAAACTAATAGGAAAACATCGCTACGGTTGGCACCACCAAAAGAGATAGCAAAACGTTTTTTTTTAAATGTAGAACTTGATGGGGGTTTTTTCATCTGTGCACACATCCTGCTTGCGTCATACCCATATATTACACTATTCTCTCACTTTTCCTCTCTTCAATATTCATCTATGCACATACACACAGAATTTAGTACGCTTGCATTCACGAACAGACCTAAAGACACACACAAATGATATAAAGGAACAATTATTTTTAACAATAATAATGTTTTAAAAAGGATAGATTATCAGTATTCTGCTAGCAATCCGATTGTATTCTAATAATGAATGTACAAATTAGTGCTGGTAGTTGAAACTCCCAGATTTTGTATCACCTCTAGACCGATTATAAAACCAAATCCTAACTTTTTCTCCAAGCATACTATTCATATTATCAAGAATCCAGATGAAAGGTTGAGGATTTCTCATTTCTGCTGCAGTAAGTGAGTGAGGTAGTGAGTGAGTGAGTGAGTGAAGTGAGTGAGTGAGTGAGTAAGTGAGTGAGAGAAGTGAGTGAGTGAGAGAAGTGAGTGAGTGAGAGAAGTGAGTGAGTGAGTGAGTGAGTGAGTGAGTGAGTGAGTGAGTGAGTGAGTGAGT